CTCTGTCCTCTCTGGTGGTTTTAGTCTAAGGCCACATTCCCTGGTTTAGATACACAGCACCTAAATTGCGATTTGGGCGACCTCCCACCCCAACCCCCTGGACACGGGCCGTGTCACAGCCCCGGTGGAACATCTCCCTGGTCCGGGGCTGTTGCTTGGCCACGCCGGCTGGGCCAGCTCCCCTGGCACGGGATGGGGGGGTTGGCTCGTTGCACAGCTCCCGTGGCGGGACACACGGGCTGCCACCTTGCCCTAAGTTGGCGAGATGGGACAAAACCTTGCCCAAATGTGGGCAAAGGCTTTCCTAGGCATGTTTTTGTCCTTTAAAGCCTGCTCATGTTCAGAGCCAGTGAGTTGCAAACACACCAGGCAAAATCCAGCTGACTCCAACCTGTCATATAAACTTGAAAATTGTTGGGAATTATTTTTCTTAATGGATGCATGTAATAACTGTGGCTGCTCTCGGTGCAAACAGCCTGTATGTTGAAGGGCAGACACAGTTTGTTAAATCGGTGTGTTTACAAAAAGTCATAATAACTGGAGCTTCTACCCTTTGCTACAGCTTATTACCAAAACAAAGCGGCCCAAAATATAAATATAGCATCTGTAACAAAATGGATTTGAACATATTTAACATATTTTATATCCAAAGCGGTTCTTTTATGTTCTGCGGTGGACTGAAGCGAGGGCTGAATTCCTGCACATCCCCTGTCAGCATCGGCGTGGCTCGCTGGGGAGAGGCTGGCAGGGACGAGCTTGGGTGAACTCAGAGCTCATTCTCCCTTTGACTTCATCCCTGAAAAATCTGAAGTGTTCAGAGGGAAACCAGAGCCTGACGGAGCCGGCCAGAGGCCTGCTGCTGCCTGGGGTCAACCAGAGATGCTTTGGATCTACAGATCCCTGGGGTGTGCTGGGACGCCCTGGGCTGCTGGGATGTGCCACGGGCAGAGCGCTGGGTCTCTGATTTCTCTTTGCACTTCCCGGGAGGGATGGAAACGCCAAGGGAAGCGGAGCATGGCGGCGTTTGGCTAAAGGACACCCTGCGTTAGTTTTGCGGCCCGGGAGCGGGGTAACTGCCGGGCAGCAGCTCGGTTTTGATGGCAGTGTTGCTGGGGAAGGGCAGAGTCCGGCCCCACAGGGAGCACCGGCGGTGCTGGGGGGTCACTCAGCGCCGCTGGCTGATGCTGGGACTGCTCTGTCCTTTTTCATTTGGCACAGCTCCCCCGGGACGGCGCTCGCGCAGTGCCCTTGCTTCCGCCCGGAAAAACCTGGGAAACCATAAAAGTCGCAGCCGGTTAATTTATAACTTGTTGTTCTCAAGTGAAATGGCCGCAGATTAATAACGCGCAGGAAGGAGCTGGGGCTCAGCCCTCTCAAAGGGGGAATCTCCGGCCCGTTCATGCCAGGGACCTACACGGTGACTTGTGTCCCCGTAAACCAGCGAGACCTGCAGGGCTCAGCCTGTAAATACCTCTCCGGTCCCGTCGCTCTTGCCAACGCTTGTTGGAAAAGTTCCAGCAGGCCCAAGCGTTGCAAGCTGTTGTTCCACGAGCCACGTCTGGGGTGTTTGAGATCCCCTGAGGGTCCCCGGGTGCTAGAGCAGGCAGCTGGGGATCGGCCCTTTCCCCCCTGCCCATCGCCCTGCCTCTGCCCCTCGCAGGCGGCTGGGGCGAGCTCAGTCCCTCATGGTGGGCTGCGGCTCCTGGAGGTAACTGACCCCTGGCCCCAGATCTTGTCCTGCGCTGGCGTGACCTGACCCACTCCACTGAGCACCCAGCACCCTCACCTGCAGCAGCCGGCGGCTTCCGTCTCCCACAGAGCAGCTCGGCACTGAGGCTGTTTTGTCGGTGACTCGGTGTCACACATTCATTTGTAAATCGTTATCTTCTGCCTTTGTCACTGTGCGTACAACACGTCAAAACAGAATCCTTAAAACACGCGTTTCCACGTCACGAAAAGTGCAGCCATTGCATTTAATTGTTTTAATTGTACGGGAAGAGCTGTTAGACAAAAATGCAGTGCCTGTGCCCCGAGAGCCGGGATGTTCCCCCTACAAGACCCAGCAGCGGCTATGACTCCGCACAAGAGCCACGGAGGGAGGAGGCATGTGGAAAACCACCGCGGGCTTCCCTGGGGCTTGGTGGTCTCGTTGGGCAGAGATCGAGGGACGTGCCCGGAGGGAGCTGGGTGTGGGGGCTGCGCTCAGGATCGGCCGTTCCTCTGGGTGAAAAACCTCATCAAGGGAGCGCGGGCAGGGTTTGAGCCTCTCGAACACACGTTACCCCCCGCCAGAGTCCCTGCAACTCGGGGCAGAGACCTGTGAGCCTTGAAAAGGGCTTTTGGGGAGCGGTCTGCTGTCTCCGGGCAACCAGAGCTATCGGCTGCCCGTCTTCCTGCTGCTGCTCAAGATAAAATAGATTTGCTTTTTGTGGTTCCATCTCTCTCATTTCACTGTCTTTAATGATCTCTTGCACTTTGCTTTTTTTTTTTTTTTTTTTTTTTTTTTTTTTTTTTTTTTTTTTTTTTTCTGTTTGTTTTTAAACAGCTCAAATTTGCTGAGTGCTGTGGGAAGCCCGTGCCGGTGCCGGGGGATGCACCCAGGGGTGCTGCGCAGCACCTCGCTGTCCCAGCAGGGACTAGTTATCTGGTACCAGGGTTTCATTTCTAAACTTTCCAGGGGAGCCTGTGCGAGGAACTGGGGAGACCGGCACCATCTTCAGCAGCTCTGGCCGCCGGCGCTGGGGCTGATCCCACTGGAGGAGCCCCAGGTTGGCCCCGAAGCAGCACGGCTGAGACTCAGCGTCGCCCCACCGCTCCCCTTCACGTGCACCCACATTTGCCTTTCCATGACTAACGGGGGCTGGTTATGAGTTAGACCTGGCTTTGCACTGCCTTCTCCTCCCACTGGCAAAAAAACCCCAGTGAAATAAATCGGTGGTGACCGACTGGTGCTCAACTCCTCTTGCCTTTACAAGTCTTCAGACCGTGACCAGCGTGCTGCGCAGTTTTTGTCCTAAATTATTCAATGTTATCTGCAAACATCAAGTGAATGAAAAAAACTATAATCTGGGACTCGCTACTCTTGCTGTCTAAAGTTTTCATTTAGAAAATGTGGCAATTAGCAGGGGATCTCCCGGGTGTCTGAGGTTGTACTTCAGCGCGTTTGGGTGCCTGACAGCTCCTCCTTGCCAGCTTCACTCGGTCTCGCCCTCCTGGGGGGTGATTCATGCTCTGCCACTGAGCATTACTCAGCTTCCTCGTTCACCCCTGCGCAGCAAACTCATCCGTTTCTCACAATTGCTTTAAGGCTGGGGCCTCCTTTTACCCGCGTGTTTCACAAACCAGCGCCTCGGGTTTACGCTGCGGCCGTGCAACCTGTTTGCTTCCAGATTCAGGTGCTCAGAGCGATAGTGATCAGCGCCGGGATCCTCCATCCATGTGTTTCACCCCGTCTGCGAGCCGGGATCACAGGGTTGCTCTGGCTCTGCTAATCCAGGCTTGATGTTTTAGTGCCGGTTGTTGAGGCGCGGGGTGGCCACTGAAGGGAGGAGGGTGAAAAGGGCAGCAGGCACCCCGATACCTGGGGCCTGGTGATGCTCCTGCGGGACTCCCTGGGTGTGCTGCTCAGGGGTGGCAGGACCCACCTTGGTGGGGCTGGAGGAAACCAGCCCAAGGTGCTGTTGGGCACCAGCTAAGCCAGGCTTTGTGCACAGCAAAACGAGCTGAGCCGGGGTTTGCTCCCCACGCGCGTCTCTGGCTGCTGGCAGGTGCCTTCGTGTGCTCCCACCCGAGGGGACCCGACATGGGGCCGCAGAGCGATGCGGGACCCTGCGGAGGAGACACAGCCCAACTCCCCCAGGCCCTCGGGTGTGTTGCAGTGTCTGTAATCTGGCTTTGGTCTGTCTGGTACAAGGAGTGTCCCTTTTCCTGGGTCAAATCTTTCACCAGAAATGAAAGATTTCAGTGTGGCGGCGGCGGTTCACTGCCAGCTGCTCGCAGTGGCACACTCACAGACAAAACCGAAGTGACGGTATTTCCAGTTGCTCAGCGTCATGCTAGGCTGAGAAAATGTAAAGCAAGGTCCTTGTGACGCTCTCGGCCGCAGAGCACCGATTCCAAGGTGCCCATCAGCCCGTGACTGTTGACATTAAGTCCCGTGCCCGTTGACATTAAGTCCCGTGCCCAGCGGCTCAGGCCCTGTCCCAGCTGCAGGGGAGGTTTACACAATAAACATTTACTGCCCTGGGCACCCACCCACGGGCCGCTTCGGTAAGTTCTTTCCGGAGGATCTCTTTTCCCAGGAGAGTCTCCTTCCAGGGCTGTAGCTGAGAAAAGCTGTAACTTGCAGGATGGGCTTCGCTGGGCATCTCTCGTGTGTGTAGTGGCTAGAGGCCGTTTCTCTGGGGCTCCTGCAGCGTGGTATCACAGCACAGCGATCGCTCTGAGCCCCTCCAGCAGCAGGGAACAGGCAGGGTGTTTGGAGAACGGGGAATATTCGCTGTTTCTCCTCTGAAGGTCATTTAAGTTGGGAGAAACATGGTGACACTCCACCAGCTCAGCGGAGGGGGTGGTGGGTTGGGTTGGCCCTGCCTAGCGATGCTCCCAGCACCTCTTCTCTATGAATCTGCTTTAGGGGCTCGACAAGTTCGTGTTAAAATTACAAAGTGTAAGAAAAATAATAATGTAAATAATGTTAAAAAAAAAAAAAATGGGAGCAGCCTCGGTGAGAGGGGCTGCAGGTGGGCTTCTCCGGCCCACGGGTTGGGCTGCAGCTCTCTGAGGTGTGAGCTCGGCTCTAAATAATAATTCATGCGTTAAGACCGACCTTACTCCATCCCCTCATGCTTTTGGGTGCAGCTCTGGGGGAGCAGGGAGGAAGGTAGGCGAGCACCCCGCGGCTCCACTCGCCCAGGGGGACCCACGGCTCTGGCCAGGCTGTTTGAAACTGTTGGGACACTGTGTCCCGCCTGGGCAAGAGTAATCAAGGAAACAGAGACTGGTTATTCTGCTGAACTTTTATTCCGACTGATACAACACACGTTGATTTGGTACACAAACAAGCGAGTTTTTAAGGCAAACAACGAGCTCAGAATTGTTTTTCCATGCGCTACAGTTCCCGTAACGGCTCCAACAGAAGTACAGCATGTTAAAACCAGTATTAGGAATGCCGCTGTAGTGGAATTATAAATACATCACATAAAAGGCATCTTTAAAGACACGCCACAAAAATACACCTTCCCATTCAAACCGGTAAATGGGAAATAAAAGCTTTCATTTATGCTTAAGCTCTTTGAATTCCTTTTTTGAACGTGCGTTCCTCCAGCCAGGCCCCGGTTCAGCTGCCGTGGCCGGCGAATAGTGCTTAAACTCCTTTTCTGTAAACAAATGAAAAGCAGGCATTCCTTCCCATTTTCTGATATTTAAAGTAGCTTCATATTACTGCACCCAAAGAGGGACACGATGGCCTTTTTCCAAACTGTAAGTGTCCTGTTTTGGTAAAAAAAGGCACGACGCAGCAGAATTATTTTCAGTGAACTCAAGTGGAACCACCCCCGATGCCGACACGTGTCCGGTTCCCTGGAAGAGCATGAGGGTCCCCTCCCGCGGCCGCGGGCCCCGTCCCGTGATGGATTGAGGGTGGAGGGGAACCAGCAGCCCCCGGCCCTTGCTGCAGAGTTCTGATACGAGGGGGCTCCATCCCCTCTTCCTCTCGGAGCTTCTCCCTCGCTGTCCTGCCCGGGGCGGGGACCCAGAGCAGCCCTGTGCTCCCTCGCTGCTGCGTGGAAATTGTCTTGACGAAGAACGACTGGGACCGATTGTTAAGGTCACCCCGACATATTTTACAGGCAACTGGGTTTATTTGTTTTAAAAAGCTGATGTAGATAAACTGAACAATACCAGTCCTCTGGACAGAAGAACGGGCTTTTTAGATGCCAAAATAAATTAAAAAAAAAAAAAAAAAAAGTATGAATCCTGCAAGGCACTTTTTCAAAGAGAATGAGTCAAATTCCCGTTTCAGGGCGCTCCCCACGGCGTTGGTCGGTACGTGGGGCGGGGCGGGGCGGGGCGGGCAGCACCCTTGACGTGCAGGCACGGGCAGGCGGGAGGCTCGACGCCGGCCGGGAGGATGGAGTCGACTCGTAACTGAAAGAGGAATTGATGTCATTAAATTGAAGAAGATGAGGGGTACTGGTCAGAGAAAGGCGGCTCCTCCCGTGATGGGCCTCTGTGGGTTTAGGCTGGCTCTTACAGCAAGACAGTAGCTTTTAGGCCACACTCAAACGCCACCCAGATAAAATTAGATTTATGTAGACAGTGGCTTCTGTTGTCAGCTTAATTATTTTTGTTTGACTGATAGTATGATAAGGAACGAGACAACGCGGTAGCAGAACAAGAAAAGTCAGTAGCCAGTCTCTCTTTTGGGTGGTTACTTTTATAAACGAAGAGAAATGAAAATAAAGGTTCTGTGTAGAGAAATTCCCAGCAGATGCAGGACTACCTTTGCCTTTAAGGCACATACCATACAGGTACAACTAGAGGATATACTGCACTTCACTGTATTTGCATCTGATTTCCCCCAAGAGGCCGTGAAATGGGAGCCATTAGAGGCTATCACCTACACAGGGGTGAAGAAAAGAAGGAAAAAAATGTAGCCCTTTAAAAAATGAACTTCGGACCCGACAAACGTGTTAGAACTCAGTTTTCTGCTAAAACCTGAAAGTTACTTGGGGGAAAGGTCTAACGCACACGCTTCTACCCACCTCTTCCAGTCTGCTTTATTTTAAAAATTCCCAAAGCTGCCACATCTCTCAAATTTGTCTTTTCAGAGAAAAGAAGAAATAAACTTTTTTGGGGTACTATTTTGGTCACTTTGTAGGAGATTTTAATAATGAAGAAGTTTTGAGTGACGTCCCCGTTACTTAAAAAATCATTGGATGCTCTTTTTATTCCCGGACGCGGGCATTTCCAAGTAAAACAACTCATATGAAAACAGTACTTTTGGCTTTGTAAACCTCTGCCATTAATCTACAGGAAGAACATTTACTGTCTCTTACCACCTGTTTATCACTCTCTCCATCTGCTCGAAGCAGTTTTATAGTCTGCTTTGCTACAGCAATTCTGGTTATGCCTGGGTATTTCATAGGCTGCTACTTAAAAAAAAAAAAAAATTAAAAAAATCACAGATTTCTCACTTGTGTATTTACCCCACGGCTACGTCCTCCTCAGCAGACGAGCTCACTTTTAGCATCCGTGCAGAACGAACTTTTATCAGGACAAATCCCTGTGTCGTGAGACTCGTGCTACTGTCAGTCCTCGGAAGAGAAAGATGTACCAGCAGTGGTACCACACGACCTTTTCCGTTTTAAGCCACGGAAATCCGAACGAAGCCTCCTAATTTTGTCTTCCTTTAATTCTTGGGGGTTTTGCCCTTTTCTCCCCCCAGAAAAAAGGAGGGAGAAGGACTCTATAAAGTAGATAATCTTAGTATCAACATATATACCAGAGCGGGTGTCTTCAGGAATTTAATCTGTTGAATCTGTTCCAAGTATTTCCCAACAGGAAAACCATTTTTTTTTCTAGCTTAACACAAGAAAACTCCCTCCCAACTCTACTTCAGGCACACAGACCACGACGCTCTGCACCTCGCTTAGGAACGGCTGTAACAACAGAATGTGGAAACAAACCCAATTCCTTCTCCTGTATTTGAGACCTTTTGGCACGCTGGCCACGTAATTATTTGGCATTGTAAGTCCACCCAGTAATACCGTTTTCAGCTATTTATGCAGGTGCTAACATGCTACGGATACCCCAATTCACAGTAAGATTTAAAGCTACTCGCTGGCAAAAGTCGTTTCCATGCAAAGGGATGGACGTTCCTTCACGCCGCTGTCCGTCGGATTTCCTCCGACAAGGTGATGGATCTCTCTTTCCACTCGTTGTTGGAGCACTTGGAGACGGCGTTGGCTGCTTGACAGAACTTCTGGAGGAGGATCTTTCTGAGCAGCAGGTAGACCCAGGGATCCAGGATCTGGTTTAGCGAGGCCAAGCGCACCGCTGTCAAGAAGAAATTGCATTCCTTGTGCAGTTCCGAGCTTTGGGCTTCACTGGAGAACCCCTTGCAGTGCTCGAACGATGTGTGGCTGAAGATCATCTTCAACATCGTAATCTAAGGGAAGTTGGGAGGAGAAAGCGATCTATGTTAAGCCGCTGTTATCTGTACATCACTATCTGCAAATATCCCCAAAGACAAACACCTGACAAGGAGGTTTTTTCCCTCCCTCGTCCTGTGATCCGAGCGAACACGCACTGGAGGAGCAGCTCAGTGTGTGTGTGTGTAAAGTGAGGGATAAACACGAGGCCTTTCAGCTGTCGGTCAGATTTATTTCTAGATCTCGCACTAAACCGAGGCAGCACACGCTGCTTCTCTGCAGCAAGCTGGGCGCTAAATCCTGGAGGTGCAGGATGGCCTTGGCTAGAAAAGGAAATTACGGACCTTGCAAAATTGACTTAAAGGGACTCATTTTATCACAATTACAAGGAACAGCTGAGTAACTCAGGATGTGTAGAGCTCTTCAGAATTATGTTATGAACAGTAAGTGTCAGAAAAAACGAACTTCAAATACAAAAATATCTTCTTTCTAAAGCTGTTTTACTCCATAACTTCTAAATTTTAGAATCTGAGTTTAAGGTAAATTATTCTGCTTGTGAACTGAGCCAAATTAAAAGGGTTAATAAAGGCGTTTTGGGCTCGGAGTCAAGAAAACATTTTAAGACAACAGAAAAAAAAAATATCTTTTTGTCAAAAGCCACAGACTGCATTTTGTGTTAACCTGACCTGTCTATCCTCCCTGCCCCCCAGCGAACTCTGATGTATTTAGACACGTTTCCCACAGCATCTGAACTGGCACGACCGAGACGCTATTTTACACTGTAAAACGTTTCACACACGTTTCCGAACGTTATGTCTCCTGTGCCTCACGGCACGGACCAGCAATAATCTGGGCTGGGAGCCGAGAGCTGGCTGCGGGTTGATTTTGGGGGGATTAAATGGTGTCAGGCGTGGTGGGATCCTGATTTCCACCGCTCGTCAGGCAGCGCAGGGCTGGCGGGGTCCTGCTGCGGGTGGCACACGGCGGAACACGAGCACTGGTCAGCAACCGCCACTCATCACTCAGAAAAGCCGAAGAAGGGGCTGCTCTGATGAATACTTTCACCCCAAAATGTGTTCTTTCAGGTAATTTCATCACTTGTAGTGCAAAGTGTCAGCAGAGATATGTACAGGCAGGAGGGAGGATCCATTTTCCCACAGGGCTGCTACAAGGGCTACGACCTCTGACAGATAAACTGAAGATGGCTCTGCAACGATTCAACCGACTATAAGAACAACTTTGTACATCCTCATCTCCCGAATTAAGACATAAACCTGCTTTACAGCAATCGGTGCCATGAGCCTCCAAGACAAGGCCGCCCTCACTCTCCTGGTACAGACCAGAAGGCGAGTCACTGCCAGGGGCTGCCACAGCCCGCAGGCAAACCAGCGACCGAGGAGGAGCCCGGCCTGGGGGTGCCCTGTTCCGCACCTGCTTCCCTCCTCCACGTGCTCCAGCCACGGCAGCACTGGCTTTGTCACCAGGCTGCTGCTTATTTGGGTAAAAACCCTGGGAAGGCTTTTTTTGGGGGTATTTTTTTTATTCAAAGCCGGTGCGAGCGCTCACCAGAGCTGGTGCTGCTATGCTCTCATACCCGAACGCATAACCATGGGGAATACGAATCCCATTTTGAAAGATGTCTGATATAATTTTCCAGGGTTCAGTCGGTATCTACTGCCTGAAGTTCCCTCCCTGAGCTTTCCCTACCAACTACAGCTGCTCAAAACCACATCACTTCAGAGGCTCTACAGAAAAGCCACATTCCATCCCACACTGCAAGGCCTCCGCCAGGAGCTCATCACCACGGGGACCCGAACGCCTTCTGAGGGGGCGGCAGGGGAACCCCCGCGCTCGGAGAGGCGGCTGCGCCCACAGCCCACGGGGGTGCTCAGGGCCGGCGGGGAGGTGGAGCTGATGCGGGGCCGCACAGCTGGAGGTGTCTCCTGGGTCTGTCCAGGAGATGGATCCTACCCGTGACGGGTGACACTCGGCTGCGCACCAAAACCACGGCCTTTGCGAAGGGTGAGGAAAGGGGCAGCCAGCCCCGAGAACACCGCGAAGAGCCCGAGGGACGAGCCTGGCGCTCAGCCCCTCGCGGCCCTGCCCAGCTCCTCGCTGCAGCCGCTCCGCAGAGCCCAGACAACCCGCTGCAGCGGGCGCATGACCCGTGGGATCCCAGCCAAGGTTCTCCCCTCCCTGCTCCAACGGCTGTCTGGGGGCGCAGTGTCAGCCAAGAGGGTCACAGCCGGGCTGCTGCTGGCCTCGGGAAGTCTGAGCAAGAGTGAGCAGGGGCAGAGGCGACGGGGAGGATTTTTCCAATCAAAGGGATGTTCTGGCTGACAGATCAATAACCACGTGTTGACCTTGGAAAGACTTGGCTGAGGCTCGAAGGCCGGGCAGCTTGCAGTGCAAAGCACAATTGGTTTTGTTTCTTGAAACAGAAGCAGTTGAGGATTCCATCTACGACATTTAATTTAAATAAAGATGAAAAATAAGCAACTCTCGGTAGGACTTTTTAAAAACTAGAGATAGATACAGATCAGACCACATCGAACAGACACTTGTGCACCACCTCCGCTACGGTCAGGGTCGGGGTCCAGGATCAGGGTCAGGGTCCAGGGTCAGAGTCAGGGTCAAGGTCAGAGTCAGGGTCCAGGGTCAGGGTCAGGGTCCAAGATCAGGGTCCAGGGTCAGGGTCAGGGTCCAGGGTCAGGGTTGCTGTCCCAGCTCGGCCCAGGCCACCCGCAGCTCCTGCCCACCAGGGACGCCATGGGGAGCAGCCCAGCCGTGGAAACGCCCCATGCCCACGTTCCAGCTGTTCCCCGGCCCCTTCTCCCAGAGCAGCTGGCCGAGCTCTTCCTCTGGGAGCTCTGCAATCACCCTTGTTTCGCCGACTTTGTTTTCTTGTTCTTTTGTTGGTGAAACCATGGAGCTACAAAAATATCAGGCTAATAAAACACATTTCCCAAGCAGACAACGGCTGCTTATTTTTGGTATTATTGCATAATATTCCTTTACTGGAATATTTGTTGGGCCAACAATCGCTCTACTGGAAATTTGACATGTTTGATATCCCTAGAGGGTGTTTACCGTGGCCTGTACTGGTCTTCTAAATGAATTAAGACTGCAAAAGGTAGAGGAACAACAGCAGGTGGAATAAAGTCAGTGGAACTACACAATTTAAGCCCATTAAAAATTTGGCTCAAAACGCATAAAGCAATAGAGTTGATAACTGTATTTATTCAGTTAGAGTAGATAAAACTTTACTGTCATCACTGTATGCAGTTTTATGACAACATCAAACCTCCACTGCTCTGGTTTTCAAACGTACAAAGGTGTGATTTGTGAGGCGTCCTTATGGTGTTTTGAATAAAGTTGGATGAAAAGTTGAACAAAGCAAACAGCAACTTTCCGGGGCTGTTCCCCAGGCTCCCCAGGTGGCAGCCAGCCCTGTGACACACTGCCACCAGCTTCACTTTAGTTGTAGCATGCGTATAAAAATGCTTCCACCAACTCACGCCGTTCACGGATCCCTCTGGCGGAGTGGGGGCAGCTCTGCCCGTCCCACTTCTGACCGTTAAATCTCCAAAAATGCCACGGGAAAAACACCGAGAGCAAGCCCTGCACCCTCACGGATTTTTCTGAGCGCTCGGGTTCTGAAGGAAGAGGAAAAGTGTCCCTCATCTCAGAGATTTTCTCTCGATGCTGTAAGGCTGATTAAACCCTCCACGGCCCCCGGGGCTGGTCGAGGGAGCTGGTTAAACCTTCCTCAGCTATGAAGGGCAGAACCTGCGGCCCAGCAAAGCCTACAAAAGCAAGGAGGGAGGCAAACACGCTGCCTTCAATTAACAAATGCCTCTTTAATTACGGAAAAGCATGCAACAGTTAACTCCTGGAAAATAAAGCAGTCCCAGCGTCTCCCCGCGGGACGTAACCGCAGACGTCAGCGGGACAGCAGGACCTGCCACAGCCACCTTAAGGGCCAGGCAAAGGTGTCTGGGGCTGCACGGAGACACAGAGATGGTGACGGGGCACCTGCCTGGTTTAACTTGCCAAATCTGACATTTCTTGGGGTTTGAGGAGCAGAACATTCTTCTTTGGTCTCAAGTACCCACTAAATTTGCAGTGTGGTTCCACAGTTGACTTCTGTCACAAGCTGTTGACGATCTCTAGAAAGTTAACTTAGAGCCTCTGACTTCTTTTGGGGCGGGGTTATTTTGGGGATCTGATGGAATCTGAATTAATTTACAAGGATAACATCTCTAAATTAAACTGTTTTCTATTTTTACCTTGTCCCCATCGGCCATTAGCTTTGTCAGCCACTCCTCTCGTCACAGCCCCGTTTATGGGCTCAAGCTCTCTGTGCACAAGGAAGGAAAACCCTTCTCCGGCCATCAAATACCTTTCACATAACTTCAAAATGACCACATGTAGCTTCAGCCCTTTCCTGCTGATGGATCCCAGGGAAACTTTCCAGGAATCATACTGTCCTCTGACAGCAGAATAAGCTGGCTTTTTAGATGGGGTATCAGGCTCCTGGGTGTGCCCTTGTCCCCTAGGGCAGACGTGGATTCAGCCCCCAAAACTCCTAGATCATGAGGAGAGGTTTACCCGTTGGACAAGAAAGAAAAGTCAGAAGTGAGGAATAACACAACAGTGGGAAGAAATGCAAGGATCCTTTAGAAAAATACAGAAACCAAAAGCCCAGAAAGCTGCCGTAAATAAGATACAGTGAGCAAGCTGCTGAAACCAGGAGGTACTCGCGAAGCCACAAGTCGTACCTTTCCTCATAAAGCACTGAAGGGAGTTTTGCTACAAGGTGGCAACAAATAAAACCCCATAACCAGCTGATTGCCATGAGCACAGGCTCCGTCAGGGTAAGGTCTTGACAGGCTTCCCCACAGGTTCCCCTAGATGAGGGGACAGGCTCCCCCTGCCCGGACACCCTCAGACCCCGACGGCGCTGCGGGGCGGTGGAAGGAGCCGGGCAGGAGCCCGCGGCCAGCGCCAGCTGCCCCCCTGCCCTCCCGTCCCACCCTGCTGGGTGCCTGCGGCTCTGTGCCCCCAGCACTGCCAAGTCCAGTGCCCCGTTCCCAGAGCCACGGCCCCCTCCCCTCCTGCCTTTCTCCTCCGTACAAGTTTTCCTCGGGGGTCCCTCCTTTTGACTCAGGGTTGTCTTGTTTTCCCAAACACGCCATGCTTGGGCTGTCCTCTCGGACCTTTTCTCCTCAAGGTCCCTCCTTTTGACGCCGGTTTGTCCTATTTTTCCAGAAGGCCGTCCTCTTGGACCGCTCCCAGCCTCTCTCCTACCAACCCGACATCCCCTGGGCTCCGTCCTCGTCCCCTCTGCCTTCGCTCGGGGCGCACCCACGGCCACCCCGTCCCCGCGGAACCTGAGCGGCCCAGCCCGGCGGCTCTCGGGGCCACCCTGCCCTCCCAAGGCTCCGCCACGGACCTACCAGCAGTGGCGACCAGCAGGCCGAGAGGACACACATGATCCCCAAGAGCTGGATCAGCGTCTCCGTGGTGATCCTCCCCCACTGCTTGCTGGAGCGCGAGGCGGTCGCTTTGGTGCGGCAGCGGGACACCAAGGCCTCGATGGTGGCCAGGTTGCAGGCCACCGTCACCACGAGGGAGAGGAGCCCCAGGACGGCGAAGGTGGAGGCGAAGAAGAGGCTCCCGGCGAGGCGGCTGTCGCCGGTGCTGATGAAGCACCAGGTGCCGGGCCACTGCAGCGCGTACTGGCCCAGGCCGGCGACGGGCAGGAGGGCGAAGGCGGCCACGGCCAGCCAGACGCCCAGCAGCACCGTCCGCGTCACCCGCGTCTTCATGTGGCTGGCGTACCAGTGGGGCGCGCGGATGGCCAGCGTCCTCTCCACGGCCATGGCGCTGGCGATGAAGAGCGGGCAGAGGCCGAAGACCGTCATGCTGAAGCCGAAGAAGGCGCAGAGGTGGCCCGAGGGGTCGACGGCCTCCCAGGCGCGGTTGGACAGGTAGACGGAGATGACGATGGGGCTGGTGAGCAGCTGCCCCAGCAGGTCGGTGAGCGCCAGGGAGCCGATGCAGAGCAGGAAGGATCGCTTGCGCCGGCTGCCCTTGGCCCGGTAGCTGCGGGACACCAGCAGCATGGCCAGGGCATTGCCCACGATGCCGGTGATCATCATGGTCAGCGGGAACGCCACCGACACGGCGCCGCAGCCCTCGGC